CTGTTTCCAATTCTTTTAGTGTTACAGGTAGGAGTGGAATTGCTGGGTCACGTGATACTTCTGTGTTCAAATGTAAGAAACCACCTGCCCTTTCCTCCGCAGTGACATCATCATTTCACGCTCTCACCGGCGATGTCTGACGGTCCCACTTTCTCCCTACCCTCCTTCACGCTTGTCGGTCTGTAAGACAGTAGTCGCTGTGTAGTGTGATGCGGGATCTGCCGAGCATCTACCTGATGACTCAGGATGCTGTGCATCTTACCAGGTGCTGATCAGCAGCCAATCACATCCCTTCAGAGAAACAGCGATTCAAATCTTTTGCCCATTATTTTTTTCCCCTGGGGGAGCATTTCATAGATTCTATTAATCCCCTGATCAGATAACTGATTTGAAAATATTTCCTCCTCAATCTGTGAGTTGTCATTTGCTGCCTTGAAATTGTCATTTGATGGAATTCAAGTGATTGATTTATTTCTACTTTTGTTATCTGAGTTTTTGGTGTCATGAAGATTTTCACATGTTTTCTCCCAAGATTGTTTTCTTCTGATTGTGCTAAAGTACTATATAACGAAACACTTGTCATAGGAATGTGTTCACATGTACAATTCAGTGATGTTAATTATGTCCATCACGTGCACTTGCCCCCACGATGCCTTTCCCAATGTCCTCACTGGTGAGCAAAACAGATAGTGTCCAAAGCTGTAAGTCTGTATGGCAGCAGAGAGCTTCCCCTGTCTCCTGAGGTGGATGGGTTTGAACTGCCAACCTTGCCGTTCTTCATCCAATGCTTACATGAGGGCCACCAGGGCAGAGAAGAGAAAATAATCACAGAAACCCAGTGCCCCTTTAGCAATCATTCCTCCTTTAAGACTTTTATAGTTTTGGTTAATTAGTTGGCTTTTAACCAGGACCCACTTTTCCTGGATAGGTGAAGGCTTGCACTAAGAATCTGAGCCGCCCTGACCCCAGGGAGTCCCCTGCACTAGAGAACGCTGGCTGCCTAGGAGAGAAGAAGGCCCAACGGCTTAAGGAGTAGCTTATCAAAGCTGCTGCTGCTGGGGGTTCAGCAAGTTCCTTTAAACCTAGAGGAGCCCTGGCGGCATCGTGATCTGTTCACCGCAAGGTCAGCAGTTCGAAACCCCGCTCAAGAACTTTCTGCTCCTGCAAAGAGTGACAGTCTTGGAAACCCACGGGGCAGTGATTGTTTTGGTTATTAACCCTCAGTCCTTAAAGGGGACTTCTTCTCTGAAGAATGCAAAACCGAAAAACCAACCCACTGCCATCAAGTCGATTCCGATTAATCGATAACCTGCAGGACAGAGCAGAATTTCTTAGCAGGGTTTCTGAGACTAAGTCTTTGTGGGAGCAGACAGCCTCATGGTTCTTCTTCAGAGCGGCTGGTGGATTTGAACCATCGACTTTGCAGTCAGCAGGCCAGCACTGAAATCGTCTGCCCCACTAAGGCTCCTTCAACAATGACAGCACATCACAAATGGAATCGTTTGGTGGTTTCCACACGTAGGAAAAGTCCTCTGAAAGGCTTGTAACTCTGCGTGGGTGCCAGTTCTCAGTGGCCACATGAGGGTCTAGGAGAGGGCTGGAGAGAGGTGGAGACCAAGAGGATGGACGGAAATCAGAGATAGGTAAGAAGAAATGAGGAGCCCCTGGCTGGTGCCCATGGTTAAGCACCCAGCTGCTAAACAAAAGGCTGGCAATGCCAACCCACCCAGAGGCGGCTAGGAAGAAAGGCTGGCAATCTGTTTCTGAAAGGCCGCAGTCCTGCCTGGAAACCCCGCAGAGAGGTGCTGCCGAGTCAGCAGAACCAACTGGAAGGGAACCGGTTGCTACTGGTTGCTTGGAACTGAAGGCAATGTTAGAAAGGAAGCCAGGAGAGCCGGAGGGCCAAGTCCACCCCCTCCCTGAAAGGGGATGAGGAGGGAATAAACTCCACCTGCCCGATCCCGCGGGGGCAGGAGAGCCAGGCGTGGCACAGCCCCACCCTGGTCCCACCCAGGGCAGAGTGAAGTCAGAGGTTGGCTTTCCTTCTCACTGCAGGCCTTGGGGAGTACAGCCACTAGAAGGTGACCCGATGCTGGGTCCCAACTACCAGCGTTTTGAAATTCACGGGTAAACAAGCCTCTGTGCCAACCTGGGGCCTCCCCGGGCCACCGGGCCACCGTTAAGGCAGCTCGGGCTAGAACTCCCAGGCCTGGGCGATGCCTTACCTGACCTGCCCACCTTTGCACAAACCACTCATGCACACAGCCCTTGAATGGGACAGCCAGGATCACAACATGCCTGGCACGGGATCAAAAGCCACCGTGGGTGTGAAAGCACTTGGCGAGTGAGCGGGGAGTCTGGGCCGGCGGGGCTGTAATTATCGAGGTCCCTGTGCTGGTGATTGTGATCTGGCACGTGGAGCAGGCTGGGTGTGAAGCCCTGGGGAGGGGGCCCTCGTGACCGTCCACTTGTGGTGAGAAAGAATTCCCTTCAGAGTAAATACTCCCTGGCAGCCTGGCCAGCTGGTGATTATGGGTATTTGCTTTAGAGGTGTACCCCATCTCACCCCTGGAATGAGTAAGGGAGAGGCTTTGAGAGCAGCATTTAACACGGTGGCCCAATCGATGGCTGTGGACCAGTAAGACCTGCTGGGGCCACAGTGTACCTTGTCATGCTGATGAGCATACACACAGACACACACACCCGGTGGTCCTACTGACCAGCTACCTGTAGCTCAGACTTGGTGGCTTCAAGTTCAAGGTCTAATCTGAAGTCTGGGGTCTTAAAGGTTTGAAGAGAAACAAGGGGCCATCTAGCTGAGAAGCAACAAAGCCCACATGGAAGAAGCACACCAGCCTATGAGATCAGGAGGTGTCGATGGGATCAGGTATCAGCCTTCAAAGACCCAGAACAAAATATCATAACGATGTGAATGAGGGGGAGTGGAGACCCAAAGCCCATCTGTAGATAATTGGACACCCCCTTACAGAAGGGTCACAAGGAAGAGATGTGCCAGTCAAGGTGGAGTGTAGCACCAATGAAACAATTTTCCTCTAGTTCTTTAATGCTTCCTCCCCTCAACTATCATGACCCCAATTCTACCTTACAAATCCAGCTAGACCAGAGTATGCACATGGTACAGATAAGAGCTGGAATCACAGAGAATCCAGGGCAGATAAACCCCTTAAGACCAATATTGAGAGTAGCCCACAACAGGAGGGGGTGGGGAAAGTGGGAGGAGAAAGGGGGAACCGATTACAAGGATCTACATACAACCCCCTCCTAGGGGGATGGACAATAGAGAAGTGGGTGGAGGGAGACAGTGGTCAGTGTAAGACATGAAAAATATATATGTAAATTATCAAGGGGAAAAATGAGCTGATACCAAGGACTCAAAGTAGAAAGAAAATGTTTTGAAAATGATGATGGCAACAAATGTACAAATGTGCTCGACACAATGGATGTATATATGGATTGTGATAAAAGCTGTAAGAAACCCCAATAAAATGATTTTTTAAAAATTCCAACTAATAATAAAAAATAGAAGTAAAAATTTTTTTTTAAAGATCTAAGGTGAAGCAGCAGCTCTGGTAACCAGACCTTTCAAGCCCTTGGGGAATCCTAGAGAGCAGCCCTGAGGATTATAGGCTAGTCTCAGCACCAGGCACGGACCACCTGCTGTCAGCTGCCTCAGACCCTCTTGGGAATTCTGACTTGATGTCAGTTGTACCCATGCTGGAACTGTGTCAGGGTGACTGACCTCCCGGGGATTCGGGGATCTTGCTACCCACTGGACGTGAAAAGCCAGCATTGAAGTCCACCCAGGATGGGCAAGATTCGTCCTGTGTCAGCAGGGACAGGAGGTGAAGGAAACTGGCCTGACCGAGCCACAGAAAGTTGCTCGGCTAGTCTTGAAGACTCCAGAGAGGATGTCAGGTCTGCAGCCCAAAGGGGTTCGGGGACCCAGAGGTGGCTAGGCCGGCCATTATACTTTCCCCATGGAGATAAAACTGTCCTACCCCAGGGCCCCTTAGTAACAAATCATTCACAAGAATTCCCTTAGTCTGATTTTTATGCATGCTCAGATCTCTAGTTTTGATGTATGCACACAGCACCCACCACAGAGAGTTAACTTAGGCTCCTGAGCAGTTTCTCTCATTACAAATGATCGTTTTTCAGGGGAGGGGAAAAAAAGAGGAGCTGATACCAAGGGCTCAAGTAGAGAGAAAATGTTTTGGAAATGTTGGTAGCAACATATATATAAGTGTGCTTAATACAATTTTGAATGATGGATCGTCATAAGATTGGTAAGAGTCCCCCCAATAAAAATGATTAATTTTTTAAAAACCTGAAAAAAAATATGATCATTTCACTAGGCCTCTTGTAAGAGTTTTTCTTCTCAGAACCCAATTGAGCCTGCTAAATGAGGGGACCACCAACCCGCCCTCCCCAACAAACAAAAACTGAAAAAAGCTCTGTTGGGCGGAGCTTCTGCAGTAGTATGCATTTCCCTCCCCAGCTAGGCGAGCCTCAAACAACTGTTTCTGAGTGAGTGCACCCAGTGGCATTGCCTGGGAAGGTTCTCTCTGGTCACAGTGAATTTTTTCGTGAAGGTCGTTTTGCTCAGACCTCGTTTTTTTGTGATGGCCGATTTAAGAGAACAGCTTGCGGCTGTGAAATGTTGCTTCCTGCTCAGGAAAAATGCTGCAGAACCTGTCATGGTGTTGAACACAGCTTACGAGGAGAGCGCTGTGGGGGAAACCAGCCCCTCACAACTCCTCGGGGGTTCAGTAGGTGCAACTCTACAGGGATGATACACAAAGAGTATAGTAAGTCATAGAGATTAGGAGAGATAGAGACACTAACATAAAGAAGTCAGACACACTCCATAGTCGTGTGCTCACCTCAGCTCCTCTTGGTGGTACACATGGAGGTGGGAGACAGAGGGCAGGAGAAAGCTCCTGAGGTTTTATTTCTAACCAAGGCTTATTTCTCTTCAGTCAGCAAGGCCCAGAAGAAAGGAGGGACGCTGATGCTGTGACCTGACCGTGTCCTATTACTGAAGTTATCCAAAATGTCAAGAAGACCTCACAGATTCCTGAGGATGGCAAGCGCTGCCGGCCAAGCTATTCCTTCCATTGCTGATGCTGTCTGTGGGCCACTCTGGGACTCTCTCATAACTGAACATTTTATAAGACAGTGACTGGACTATTACTACAGACTGTTCTCTTGCTGAAAGATCAAGATTTTTGATTTATCAATTAATGCTAAAATGTGATTGGAATATAACTCATTTCTGTGTAACCCCTTACCTATATAATGTAACCTTACTTAATTGGGATTTGATTAGAAAACGTTTGCAAGGGTTTAAGGGAAACATTTCATTAGATATTGATTTAGCTAAAAAAAGGATATTTTCTATATGTTCAGAGATAGGCTCAAGCCTTCCACTGGCTCTGAGGTAATTAAGCAAATGGTGGATGGCCTAGAAGGAGGCTAGTTCCCGTGTGCTTGGGGGAAAAGCATTTCTCATAGCTTAAGTTCCAGTCTGACTGTGCTGTGCATCACAATTTTGATGCTTGCAGTCTCATGCTGCTTTTATAGGAAGCTGAGATATGAAAAGAGACCATGTTGCCTCTATGACACTATTAAATCTTAAACATAATACAGAAATGGGAAATGTGGGAAACTAACACTGAGGGAAATATGACTGGGACTTATTCCCTGACTAGGACAGAGGGAATCTGGGAAGCTAGTATTCCACGGTAGGAAAGCCACCACTTTGGAAAGTTAGAGATATAGTCCAAGTGCATTTTCCTGTGTTAAATTTCATTTCCACAGATTCTCCCCTTACAGCTGTGCTGCCTTAAAGTGAGCTCATGGCTGACTCTGTCTCCCTGTAGAAGCAGACATTCCTATTTGCTCTATCTCTTCCTGCCGCAGCATCCAACTCCTCATCCCTTCCCCCAATAGTGGATGGACACAGGGGCCTTTATCCCCCAACCCTGGATTCAAAATGCTTGCCATAAGCATGAGTTTTTTGCTTGGATACTTTAATATTGCCAATAATTTTGTCTTGACAGCTTTCAATGTATAGAAAATAACCGTGTACCCATTGTAGCTCTTTATGTAATACATAAAACACAAGGGGGAAGTGTGGGATACAGAAAGATTTCTCCCAAGTTGTCTCCCCAAATATATGCCCAACCCAAGACGCTGCTTGCTACACATGGTGAATGACTGTACACTAGGAGGTCAACAGAAGTAGATCAGAGGTTATTTTCCTTAAGGGTACCAGTCATCTAGAACAACCAGACTGTAGGGCCCACTCCCTTCTGCTATTGTTCCCTTGAATCAATGCCCAAAGGCAAGCCCGGCTCCACTCAAGGAAGACTAAGGTTAGGCTACTATATTGAGTCTGGGGTCTCCCCATCTTGCCACATATGTACCCCTATTCCATTCCTTTACTATTGCGGGTATACCCCTAGGTCATCCCTTCCTATTGCTTGTATCGCCTATGTTACAACCCCTTCCTACGATGTAGGTTGTTATCTGTAATCAGGGGGCTTGCATGTCCCCAAAGATATATGTTTTGGTTAGAAATAAAACCTCATGAGCTGTCTCCTTCCCTCTCGTCTCCTAATTCCACAAGGACCACCAAGAAGAGCTGAGGTGAGCATGCTACCATGGAATGTGTCTGACTTCTTTGTGTTACTGTCTCTATCTCCTATTTTCTATGACTTTACTATAATCTTTGTATCTCATAACTGAGTTAGTTATTTGTGCCAACCTGGCTGATAAACACGTGGGGTTAATTGAAGGGCAGAGGGATAAATGGCTCGTGAGCCTTGTCTTTCTAGTTTTCACGTCTCTTGCTTTCTGATTCAACCCTGGATTCAACCCTGGTGCAACTGCCTTAGCCAGTTCCCTGCTTTAGCTGGCAAGGCTCACTTCCTGCAAGACATCCCTGAGGAGA